AAAATTATTTTCCCACCGAAGCACCGTATAGCACCACCGAATCATAGACTCAATATTCGCCACCGCACTTGTGTAGGTAGTATATTGTATTTGTGAATAGGCGAAAAGTGGCAGGGGGGAATGTTATCCTCATGATTGTGTTTTATGAAGAACAAGTCTTCAACTTTGTCATTAGTTTCCATGATCCTTACACTTTGAGAAGTGATGCAGACTTGTACCTCAGTCTCAGATCTTTCTCCACACTTGTTAAAATGAATAGTCAGTTAAATTGGTTTTACCACACACTGGCAGCTTTCGGACTCGTCAATCTCTCTTATTGCCCACCGAACGGGGAAAACGTCTCACTGTGCGGGAGCGACGAGACCCAGGCTGCAAGCTGCCCGACCGTTCCACGCAGCGCTCACCAGCTTTGTTTTCTTTCCGCAGAAAAAAATTGAACAAACACGGCACCTGCGTTGCTTTTGTTCTCGCCTCAGCCGAGGTGAGGTGAGGGGTGGCGTGCAAGGCGCGGAGTGGGGGGGGGGAGGTGCTGCGTTCTGCATCTAAGCGCCTTAGAGCGCGAGTCGCGAAAGAAAAAAAACCTGCGGAGGACGCGGAATCAGCCGTGCAAAGCTGACCCGATCCCGGAATTACGAATATCGTTTCGGCGCCGCCAAGTGCGGATTACCGTCCGCCGTTGACGCCCGATCGCCACGCGTGCGTTCGCATTTGCCCCGTCAACTGTCGCCGTGGGCGGGTGGGATTAAAAAAAAAGTCACGCCCACTGTGCGGGAATTTAATTTTTAGCACAGTTTTATTCAAAACATTTTGGTTTCGCACGTGTTTGTTTTGACTTAAATTGTTCGCTTCATAACGCAAACTTTCTCTCAATTTATTTTCCTCGTCGCCTCCCGTAACTTTTACAAATATATCCCTCGGTTTGAGCTTTGTCGTAATATTTTGTTTTGTGAATTTATAACCTGATGAAAATATTTATCAATACTTAGAGTATACTTCATCTCCATATTAAAAGATTTCTTTGAAGTACTTTATAATAGGGAATATTTGTTTTAGAATTTATATTTAAGAGAAGACACGCTCACGAATTCTTCAATTATTGAAATGCTTAAATTTTTGATTCAAGTAATGGTTTTCAGTAACTTTTTCTGATAGTTACTACATGAGCACTGAAAAATAATAACACATTTGCTTCTTTCTATCTTATCATCTTTTTGTTTTGACAAATCCCGAGGCGAATATGAGTTGATGATTATCTTTGGCGACGTTAGACTGAAAAAATAATAAAAGTGATGTTATGAATGAAATAGAACGATTAGTTAAAGAGTAATATGTTTATATATGAAAATAATATTCTCGGACTTTGATATTTAGAAATCAGGCTCAATATTGAATTGAGATTTGAGTAATAGTACATTACTTCATCACATATACTTCGCTACCGATTACGGAGTACTGGAACGAGGAGCAGCGAGTTTCATGGTGGAACACGTGATGCAACTGGAGAATTTTGAATTTAAGAATATTATGCAGTTTTTCACGGACAAAATGGGTTTCCTATCAATGAGAATAGGTCTCATAATATTGATAAATATTTTAGTGTCATCTTTATCCCAGAGTGAAAAAACATATTCACACATCGTAAACAATTTTTACAAACGCAATAATAGGTGCAAGGGCGAACATAGTTTTGTTGAGAACTATGTCAGTACCTTCGCATTTCTTAGTATTGTTGAGTTTTAAATTACATTGCCAAATGCTTACTTTCTACAAACAAATTGTGTATCTGTATTTTTAAGAAAATAATAATAATAATTATTATTTAAAATTATTTTTGTTCTTCTCTTATTGGATGTTTATTACAAACTTTATTAACATTGAAAGTTATACCTCAGAATCAACCGTCCCATTTTTCTTTCAAATATATTTTATTTTCTCCATTTACAAGTCGAAAGACTAGTAACTTAGTTCAATTACTCGTTTCGTAGGATCGGCCTGCCAAATTACGCAGCAAATAACTCCTCGCAGTATTTGCTTCCTACAGAAAATTTATATAGCTTCTTTCATTCTCACACTGCCACACAATACGCCGCACAATGTGTACTTTCGTCGTTCTCTAGCAGCTTGCGCGGAATTAGTTTGTTTTCGAACTGCTCTCCTCTTCTCGCTTGACCTCGCCTCCCCTACCTCTCCCACCTCGCCCAGCTCAACCTCGCCCCACTTCGACAGACCTCGCCTCCCTGGGTCTCTCCTCACCTCCGCCCCGCTCTTCCTCGCCTCACCCCGCCTCACCCCGCCCACCTGCCGCCTCACCCCGCTCACCCGCCTCACCCGCATCACCATCGTCTTCTTCCCCGCCTCACCTCGCTCACACCCGACCTTCCCGCGTCACACCGCCGCACTCAGCCTCTCCCGCCCCGCCCAACTCGCATCGCCCCGGCCGCGCCGCACCTCTTCGCCTAGTCCCGTCTCGTCTCTCCCCGCTTCGCCCCGCTCCTGCACGCTTTTTTGCCGTTCTCCCGCCTTGCCCCGTTGCCCGGACCTTATCCCCCCGCTCACCCCCACTCTCCTGCCTCTTCTCGCCTCTCCCATTCTGCTCTCCGCTTCCACTTTGTCATCCCGCCTCGCCCCCGCCTCGCCCCGCCCTGCCCTCGCCTGCCCCGCTGGCGCCGCCCCGCCTTCGCCCGCGCCTCGCTCGCCCCGCCTCGCCCCGCCTCGCCCCGCTCGGCCTCGCGCCCTCGACGCCTCGCCCCGCCTCGCCGCCGCTCGCCGCTCGCCTCGCCCACGCCTCGCCCCGCTCGCCCCGCCTCGCCCGCGCGTCACGCCGCCTCACCCGGCGCACTCGTCCATTGCGCCTCGCCCCACCTTCCCCCTCCCCCACCCTTTTCGGCATCCTGCTCAGCATCGTTTCCGCACCAATAGATATAGCACCACGACGCTTAGTTCGCAGTAACGCGGCTCTCATCGTTTCGCGGCTGCCCGGAACTTGGGGCGCAGTTGCTTCGCTTGACGAACAAACTTCACGCACGCCGCGCGCGCCGCGCCGCGCCGGCCGGGCTACGCGGCGCCTGCGCCGGCAAGGCGGCGCCTGGGATTCGGGCGGTGCATTTCGGGAAGTTGTTGCGCGGCACCTGCTGGCTGCTAGTGCGCCGACTGGCAGCGGGTGCATTGCCGTGAGGTGACTACGTGCGACTTCGAGTCAATACGAAGTTTACTTTAGGTGACGTCACGGGTAGCACACTGTGAGCTGAATGTAAAGCTGTGTTGCATGTAGATCGATAGCGATATAAAAAGTTTACTTTACGTGTTGGAAACGTTGCAATATTTTATTATTCGTTCAAAGGTATGCACTCTGAACACTAATTGAGATGTAAGCACATTTGATAGACAAGGTATTTTTCTAGATATTTATTTTATTTTCGTTTTCATTTCCGTTTTCGTTTCATTGAATTTCATAATCGCAAAAAATAGTAAAAACTGTATTTTACGCATCGTGCAGAAGAGTAGTCTACGCAAGTTTCCGGAATTCCTACCCTGTCTCTTGTCATTTGTAACTGAATTTTAATAAACGATCTAAAAAACATGGTTGACAATTAGTGCTTGAAAACTAGAAATAGGGCTCTCGAGTAATACAGAACGTACTTGCACTTGGGTGAAGCTTCTAAAATTCATTTACATAAAATTAGTTTATTTTGTTCAGTTTTGTCATAAATATGTTGATGCAGATGTTTCTGAAATTAGGGATTTTTGTTTTAGTACTTGAGCGTTACAACTCAAGAATATATTTATTATGTTATGCATTTTTTATGAAATCTCTCTGCTATCTGAAGCAGATTCCTATTTACAAGTCTAAAGTCAGGACAAGAATTTTCACAAATTTATATTACGAAAATGATGCTATAGAAAGAGTTATTTTATGATCTTATTGAGCGAGAAGGAAAGATTAAAAATGTTAAAAAATTGTTGAATATTAACTTCATGCTAATATTTTGTCATAGTTTATATTCCTGTTTTTTCGTGTAATTAAAATGAAAGGTTGATTGGAAGAGCCTGTAAAGTAGAGGAACACTTAAAAAGTTTACGCCACTCAGACGAAGGAGCACACCCACGGTGGAAGAGAAGAAGAGGAATTGGGTCATTTTGAGGGGAAGCTTTAGATGGCCAGGGTGAGAGTTGTATATGCCGCGTTCTGTATGTTTTCATTGTGAAGCGTTCTGGAAATTATTAATGGGTGTTTATTTAGTGAAATGCGACGATGGATGAAATTAAATTTTGTGTAAGTGGCAAAGTGAATGCTTTCCTGAAATAAATTAAAGATATGCTTATTTACCAGCCAACAGATTTATGAGGTGTTTTTTCTGAAAGTATTTTCGCATAAAATGCATTGGTAATCATGCGTTGCACAGATTCCAGGGTGTTTAATGATGGCGAGATCCGAAAGCGCGGGCCTCGTTTTCAACTTCGAAATGTGAAGCAAACTATCAACTTGGCCGTAAATGGGATTTGAATTTTGAAAAATAGTGGGAAACTTGGTATAAGAAGAGACTAATATAAACGCCGTATTGTATATATTTCTTTTATGCGGAAGGGAACCTCAAGCTAGTTTGAGGACGTCATAAAACACCCAAGCTCAGATTATATGAGGGGATTTAGTAATTTTACGGCGAGTACCCCAGGTTATACTCATTTCCTCCCAACTCCCCGCCTCAATATCCCTTGCCCCCTACCAGCAATTTTCTTTCCTCTCTCCTCCAATCTCTCGTCTGTAAGGTTGTGCCGAATTCGTCTTCATATCAGTGGAAGACGAAGATAAACTAGTAATGTGATCATCCGCTGGAGGAAAGGGCGATCACAAAATCGTAAACCTACCACTCATAAGTTCAAAAATGAGATGCTTTAATAAAAATTATGTGTTCTCGTAACGTTGCTCATTCATACTCCTATTCTTTCTAGTCTGCTATTAGTTGAGGTTAATGTACAAGTGAACCTACAAGGTTAACGAAATGAAGGCATCAATGCGTAAGTCTCCTTCCTCCTCATAACTCAGTAATGAGGATAAAACTTATCATTATCATCATGATCACCAATTGAGACCTGTGCTCGTAACCTTGCTTATTTGTTCTGTAGTCTTGAAGTTAATCTTTACATTAAACTCGAGATTAAACAAAAGGTAGGTGACAACGGTGAATAACCCTTCTTTCCCATGTAGCCTCAGTAGTGATACTTGTAATCATAACCATCCTGAAGCACGCGTTGACGAGAGTGTCGTTGGTGTGTGCCGCAGTGGTGGACTGCGCCGTGTCGCCGTGGGGGGCGTGGTCGGCGTGCGACGCGGACTGCGGCGCGGGCATGATGACGCGGTCGCGCGCCGTGGAGCGCCAGCCCGAGAACGGCGGCCGCCACTGCCCGTCGCTGGTGCAGAAGCGCGGCTGCCAGGGCACGCGCTGCCCGCACAGCGCCAAGTCCGCCGTCAAGGGTGAGTACACTCTGCATTATTCCTTATTTTGTTTCCAGGGGAGGGACCTCAGCTTCTATGGTCGTTAGTTCCGGAAGGGGGGGTAGTGAATGTTGTGTACTGGGAGGGGCATTTCTCCCCCCCCGCTAGAACATGAGATCCAGAGCCGACCGCCTCGTCTAATTCATTAGTGATTACGGGCACGCTAACTGATAAGGTCATTAGTCCCGTAAGTGTAGTGTACGTTTTCCTTTTGGAAGGTGGCGGTGATATTGCCCTGCTGGATGGCGAGATCCGGCGCGGTCGGCTAGTGACGTTTTCCCCAATCAGGTATCAGTGAATGACTTGAGCCACCCTTCTCGGTGGCTCTCTCTTCATCATTTGTTATTTCGTGGCCGTCAATTTCTATGGTCCTTACTTTCGTGGGTGTAGCGAATGTTGTATAGTAGGAGGGGGCAGATTTTTCTCGCGCTAGAACGTGAAATCCAGCGTTGACATACACTTCGGGTTGCGGTGTAATCGTCCTTTAGTTTCCCTCGCTAGAGGGGCCCCGGCGTAGCTGGGACCAGATCGAAGCTGATTTCTCGACAGATGTGATAGAGTAGAGTAGTCAATGTACGTATGTGTGAATGTGTAGGAGGAGAGTGTGGCGCAGAAATGACGATGGGAAAATCGCGAGCGGTCCATGGCCCTTTGTTGCCGTACTGCTTCTTCATTCACCTGGTATTGATCGAATAAATCATGTACTAACGGTCACCAGCCGCAACACCAGCCTCATCAGATCACATCAGCCACTCGCTAGACTTAATTTAATCTACCAGGAATCGAAAATCCCTCACTGCCACCATTTGAAACCTAAAACCTCTTGTTTAGAGACATTGCTGGCAGTAGTTGTTGACCCGAGATATCTTAGCCCTATCCCAGCTGGATCGTCCACACTCTTCATCAAGGGTGAATTCGATGGTGTCGATCTTCCGCACCGCCGAGGCATGCCACCAGCTTATCGCCCCAACTGGTAGAGTGAGCTCAGTTTCCCCAGAGCGAAAGATCTGTCAAAATATGCTGCAACTTGTCAGCCAAAATATATGAAATGTTTTAATCCTGTGGAAAAGATGGTGTGTAAGAAAGAAGTAAAGTGAACAAAGTAATGACAAATTTTTGAAGGGCAAACATAATTTAAACATGTCATTCAATTTATATTAAACATTTTTATATTAAATTCAATTACATAAAAGAGACTTAATTCAATTTATTTTCAAACATTCGCCCAATTGTAACTCGCGTGTACGTTCCAGAGCCGCTTTCACAATTTTGCTCATTTGTTGAGCAATTTTGATCATTTGATTGAAAATAATTTATCATGTAATTTATAATTCACTATAGATTAATTTAAATAGTAGGGTTTCAAACACACATGTTTTATTTTCTCGAAAAGAAACAATTTTAATACTTTTAATAGTGAATTGAAAATAAATGCTTAATGTAAATTTGTTGACATATTTTAAACTACATTTGCATTTCAAATATTTGTCATATATGAAACTGACCGTATGTATCTTACAAAAGTTCATATTTTCTACGGTACACTCAAGGAAATAAAAACTGTTTTTACGCAATCAGACGAGTGGAGAATCAAAGCAATATTTTTTTTATCAACTTAGTTCGCTCGAATTCTGGAATTGCTGAGGTGAGGTTTCAACTTAAATGGTTGGCAACTCCACAATCTTCAATGGAAAAACTGGAATGCTACAAAACCGTCCTCATATTCTCCAAATCATTCGAATATTCTCAAAATCACGAGATGTCGAGTAGACAATAAAGAAATATGTAGGTAACCTAAAACTATTTCGTAAAATATTAGTCCAACTTGTAACATTTTTAAATGTCTGTGTACTCCTGAAACATCTATTTATTTATATAAACTTACTGTGCTCTTTGTGCGGTTATAGTACTCCTTTTACGTCGTTTGGACGCCTTTATGTGCGCGGTCCTGAAATTAAATTGCGTACAAATCCCCCTTTGACAATGCTCCGCGTGCCTAGGAGCGCACGGGTGGCGCTTGACGTAACATTCTTCCGCTCCCGACTGCATCCCACTCACCGCTTGCGTACGTCCCGCTGATGAAAATAAATACAGGTGAAGCTTCCCCCTTGAAGCTTTGGAATTGAGGTAGCACGTAATTCAAACGTTATTGTCTGTGAAAAAAAGTACAAGATAAATTTACGTTTTGTTTTTTGTTCTTTAGAGACACCAGTATAACGGAAATTGTGTTTACGTGGCACGTTGGCAATTTGATTGCTGTGTTCAAGCGCGGCACAGTGAATCATGTTCAATATGCTTATATTCTTTAGAAATCTCGTGCAATCTTTGTGCTGCAGCACTACATAGAAAAATGCTCTTGTTTGTTCAATTGATTGGATTTTCTCGAGAACTTTACCTTCATTCCACCATCAAACCATCCCCACCACTATTCCCACCATCCTTTAATAGAATGAGCGCAAAATATGATCATTGTTTGTTTTATATGTCACTATGTTATAATGTTACTATTCAAGACTAGAATATTTTGATTTCTGTTAGATCAGTAATAATACTATATTTCGTAGTAGTATAACAAGCAATAATAGAATGCGACACTTTTAATGTTATTAAAATTTTTAATAAGAATATTAACAACACATATTTTGAACAACAAACTCAATGTTAGAACCTACGAGTACTTGGTCATAGTTATGAGTCAAATTAAGATGCAACCAGCAATTATATGTAAAGTTAAAATATTTTCAATGTTTCAAGAATAACTTGTAAATAAGAATTTTCGTTGAAATTGCTCGCACATCATTGCCAGAGCATCGTTTCTCTAGCATTTAGTCGGGTTTCATTGCGTCAAGTACCGGCACGTCAGCCACTCGTCTTCAACGGTGCATCATCATACATTACATATTCCATTCATGCTCCAGACATTTTTATGAAGCCGTTGTTAGTGTGTGATACTCGTAAGTCTCACTATATTCATTTTCGGATTTGTGCGAGTATATTCTACAATACATTTTAATTTTTCATGGACAATTTTGAATTGAGGTGCTCCATTGTACGGTGCATCGGGATTTCACATTTTGAGTAAAATTAGCGGAGCAATTGCCAATGTGACTTTTTGTGCCGCGTTTTCTTTAGCCTTCGCGATTCCAGTGACACATACGTCACTCTTTGACGTTTTTTCTCAGACTGTTGTGCGCAAAATGATAAGGCTTCAAAAGTCTCTACCATTAGTCATTATCTCTTCTCATATGCCAAGCGCTCTCCTTGTCGAGTCATGTGAGCTTCACAAAATTGTTTTACAATCTCTCTCTACGCGCACTTTACATGACTGGTCCAGTTACCTCGCCTATTTCACTCTATCCCTTATCCTTCTTCGATTCAGTTTGTTTAAACACATGTGCCATGTTTATTCCAATTCCGACTCAGGTCTCCCGCATTCTCCAGTAATAAATTTCTCACTCTCATATTCCCTTAAATAAATGTATTCCCATGTCCCCCCGAATTCGCTCAAATATACGGACTTATTCTATAAAGTATATCTTCTCAATCAGCAATTTTATTATGCCCGCACCCTTACTCCGTTCGCACTCTCTGCCCTCCTCTCCGCCCCCCTCCCCACTTCTCACTGGCGCCCTGTGGTGCACTGAGCAATGGAAGGGCGGGGGCGTAACAAATGCAACGGCGCGGAGAGCGGGGGCGGGGGCGGGGGCGGGCGCTCCCTCGTCCATCATCGTCATCATTACCGCCGCCATTAATAAACTGTCAATCACGTTTCTTGACCGATGAGCGCCGCTTCCTGATTGTGACGCGCTGGCGGCGGCGCGGCGCGGCGGCGCTCCCCGGGGGCGCCATGAAAATGCCTCTAATGGATATCGGCAGGCAGCGCCGCGCCGCGCTGGACGGGCTGGGTGGACCTGGGCGATGCGGAGCGACGGCCGTTCCAGGTGGTGGTGGTGGCGCTGGTGGAGATGGGGCTTTCGAACAGAAACGGGAGATGTGAACGGCACGGGACGGTCGTCTCTGGACAGGGCGGAACGGTCGTCTCTGGACGGGACGGAACGGTCGTCTTTGGACGGGACGGAACGGTCGTCTTTGGACGGGACGGAACGGTCGTCTCTGGACGGGACGGAACGGTCGTCTCTGGACGGGACGGAACGGTCGTCTCTGGACGGGACGGAACGGTCATCTCTGGACGGGACGGAACGGTCGTCTCTGGACGGGACGGAACGGTCGTCTCTGGATGGGACGGAACGGTCGTTTCTGGACGGGACGGAACAGTCGTCTATTGACGGGGCGGAACGGTCGTCTCTGGACGGGACGGAACGGTCGTCTCGGAACCGGATCGTTCGGGACTGATCCCTTCGACTGAGGACGGAATGGGATGGAAGGAGTCGGTTCGAAAAGGACGGCGCGAGGTGGAGTGGGCAGTGGAGCCGGAGGTGGCGGCGCTAGCGGCGTGAGCTGCGAGGGCGGCCCGGGAGGGGCTGATGTGTGAGGTGCGGGTGGCGCTGGTCGTCCGTCGGGAAGAACGACCACTGCGCTCGCGCTGTCAGATTCCGGCGCTCGGCGCGCGGGAGATGCTATCCACATGTCTCTGTGCCCCTCAACACGGCCATCTGTTTCACTCACGGCAGACACACGACACGACACGACGCGGCGCGGTTTGCGCGAGGCGCTTGTAGGCGCGTGGACATGTATTAGGCTTCGAATTTCCTTGCTCACTGTGGGTTTGGGGTCTATGACATAGTGCTTATGACGTCGTCGATTTGTATTTCTTCAATGTAGGTAGAATGTCTTCTTGGTTAACGTTAATAGGATTGTTAGAATACAGAAATAGCGTTAAAATAGATACCGGATATGCGTAGAAAATATTCCGTTGTGTTTGTGCAACTGAGAGGAGAGAGAGAACGAGAGAGAGGGAGAGAGAGGGGGAGAGAGAGGGAGAGAGAAAGTAAGTTTGAGAGATAAACAGAGACAGAGAGTGTGTATACGAGAGAGAATTTGAAGGCTTGAGTGAATATTCTTCTTACCAAAAATGAAGTCCTTTCACATGTGATAGTTTAAAAGATGTGGCATATCTTTGCTTATGAATTAGAGAGAGACCAGTAAATCATTGGAATCATGATGAAGATAATTTTCCAATGAACCATATATTTCTTTTATTTAAATAAAGAATTATAATACGTTTTACTTGAAATATTTAACAAATTGTTCGTTTTAGATAAAAACAACTTTTATGATGTGCGGTGTTTCAAATGCCCCCTCTTGCTCGTTCCAGTTATCTTTTCCTTAACATTCTTTGTTCTTTTATTGTGTTGAATACTCTCATTGGTAAAATGTGATTTCTTTCTTTCTGCAAATGATAAGGTGCTCAATTGAGACACAGAAACAAAATTATTGTGTGAATTACAACATGAAGTACAAAAAAACTGGCATTATATTCAATTTATTATTACTATTATTTAGAATGAATTAATAGTACGAGAATGTATACATGTTAGATTTTATTTTCGGAGTTTTTCTACAGCTGTCGCCGTTTGTCCGCTCTCCATGCCGGCCTATTTGACCATAGATCATCTTGCATTGCTCTTGCTTTCACCGTCTACCCTCTCACACTCGTCGTTCCCATGAAAGTCTGGATATTCTGTCTGCACCCATTGCAGTACTCGGTTTGGCCAACTTTTGTCTGTCATTCGTATAACATGATCGTACCAAACGATTTGTTGTTTTTCAATTTCGTCAAGGACAAATTTCTTTATATCAATTTTCTTTCTAATGTCATCGTTCCTTATTCCGTCACTGTTGCTGTAACATCAACTTCATTGCCAGTACTTCGTTTCAAGAGCCAGCAAGCTTCCCCCTTGTTCTCTTATCAACCTCCAAAACTTCCGAACCGTACTTTGTAGCACTCTTGACTAATGTGAAGTAAAGACGTCTTTTAGTAGTGTGAGTGATGGTTTTGTCTCATAAGGCAGAGTTTATACTTCGTGTCACGTTTCTCCCAAAGTTTATTAGTCCGGGAGCCTGCTGTTAATCTTAATCTGAGAGGTGTTCTTATATGGATTCTATGTAGCTCCAATTAAGTTTTCACTGATTTTAAGTTCATTTCTTCCCATACTCTGGCAACCGGATTAATTGTCATACACCTTCTGAAGAACAATGAAACGCAAATAAACTTCTCTATCTCTCTTTGTCCTCTTTTTTCAAAAAGTTGTTTAATGTAAATATATTGTCAATGACCAATCTACTGGCAGTGGCAACACATATCTTCTATTCTCACATCATCATTTCACTACACTTCTGTTTTATTAATTATACTATACAGACTACTATACATAAATCTAATAACTGCTATTCCTCTGTAGTTTGCTTCATTGTTTTGAGATCCTTATTTTTTTGAACTGTATTGTTCTAGGATCTTGTTTTTTTCACCTCCATGGAAACCACTCACTTCTCAAATTCTATTTTGTAACTTTGCTTACACAGGTCGATACTGCAGAAGCATGTCTCGAGAGAATTTTCATTAATTCGGCCTATGAAACGTATCAGGTATTGAAAATATATAGCGTCTACGTACGAGACAGTAGCTTGCTTATAACGTCCATAAATTGCGAAATGTTCGGTGGGTATACAGCCCTGCCAAAGTGGGGTTGAATATTGAATGGCAGGTGAGACGAGAGCAAAAAGAGGAGTCTGGAAACCTCTGTTATACCGGCGCTCAAAAAACGAACGAGTCGCCCAAGACGGGCGTATCGAGGGAAGGCAACGGAAGGATGCTGGCGGGAGGATAATGGATGGCTGAGACACTGGCTGGGAGAGGTAGAAGGGAGGGCGAAAGCACAAACATGGCAAAAAAGCACCAAAAACGTATAGTAAATCGTAGTGTAAAAACGGAGTGCATGTAGATATTTTGTATATAATGGAGTATTGGTAGAGATATTGCAATATTTTCGGTACGTAAAGTATCGGCATTTTTGTATACGACGTGAACGGACCGGCAGCGTTTCTAGTGATTGTATGTCTGTAATCAAACTTTCTCTAACAGAAGTAAGCAGAAGACGTCAGATGCGAAGGGAAGATAATACGCGTGAGAAAGATCCTATAGGCAAGAGACAGTACTAAAAGGTGAAAGTACTGGAAGGCGAGATTCAGAAAAGAGCAACGTCAAATGAGGACAGATCCAGTAGGGTGTCGTAAAGAAAGAAGGAGAGAGGAGGGAGAGGAGTAGAGTTAGAAAACTGGGTGAGAAAAGGGTGGAAAGGAGACAACAGGACAGAGAGGCAGGAGCAGGCGCGCAAAGGCATTCAGAATAGCAAAGCCAAGAGAGGAGAGGAATAGGGGTGATAGGAACGCCCAAAGACAATAGCGCCGGTGGCCGGGCGCGGGCAGCACCGAGGGAGCAGAGACCTCGCTACTGTCTGTCAAGCGGGTGGGAGGTGGGTGGGCGGGTAGCGCGGACGGACAAACGGGCGTTGGCGGCGGCGGCGGCGGCGGCGGCGCGCTGGAGCGCAAAGACCGCGCGGCCCGCGCCCTATCACGCTGCCGCCCGGCTGCGCCCGCCGCCCGCTGGGCGGATCTGCCCGGGGCGCCCGCCCGCTCGCCCAAGAGCGGTCTGGCCGCGTCTCCGCAAGAATGACGTCAGAGGACCTCCGGGCCGGAGCGCGTTTGCGTGGAATGCGGAGGCCGCGGCGCGCGGAAGCAGCTCCGGGTCCCTTCGCTTTGGCAGGCCTGTCTCTTCGACGCCGGGACATTGCGTTCCAGCATCCCTCAGGCTCCAAAGGAGTAATGTACATCCGGTTGCCACCAGTGCGCAGAATTCGTCGGAGAGTTGGATTTACGATAAAAAAAACGTAAACAGAAGTTTTATATATTTTGTGAAAATATTAGGCAAGTTCTTAGTTTCTAAATATCATGTTATAACTATAAAATCATGAAAATTCGTTTACTTAATTATTCGTGAAGTTAAAATTCTGAATTTAACCAGTGCTGATTTCCACTAACTAAGCATAAACTATGTAAAACGCATTAATGTTATATCCCACTACCTAAAACATGTTAAACAGAGTCGCTAGAAATATCGTTATTTGAATCACGAGCGTGTTATTTTCTTTGGACGTTGATGCTTGAGAATGGAATTTTTTTAATGAAAATGTCCAAAATGTTTTTAAAATCTTTAATGTTTACGTTAAAAAGTATTATCTCTCTGGATCAGTACTTTGCAAGATACTGACGTAATTAACCCATCCTTCAAATCTTTCCGCTAGATATCACGAATTTTTCCTGTCGAGAAGATAATTTTTGAAAATAATTTTCATAATTTCAAGTTAAAAGTTCTATATTGGGCTTGGAAGATATTTGAAACAGAAGGAAAATGTTTTTCCAAACCAGGATGTCAGTTGGAATTTTGTTACTTTGCAGTATTAACGTAAGTTTTCGAAATGCATCGACTTTTTCAATTTTTGTGATACTCATTCATATTGGTCATTGCGTATATTTAAAGGACCAGAAACAAGAATTACAAGTTCCAATGTTTGTGGGGGGGATCACAATATATGTATGCGCTTGGAAGGAAATTTTAAAATATGTTTCAATAATTCCTAGGTTTTCATCTGGTAAAACGTCTAGTGAATTTCAGTTCAATTTTAAGTCAATATAAATTAAAAATACGTTTCTCATGCAATCATGACTTTATTTTGTGTTACACAGAGTAATATATTATAATACAATGCATAATAATAATAATAATAATAATAATAATAATATAATATTATATAATTATTATTTCATTATATTTAATGATTATATACTTCTTATTTTATTTTTTCCAAAGAATTGCATTGACAGTGTGCAGGTGTTTCTCTTTACATATAGAAATTTAAAACAACAAAAACCATCACCAGGAAATTAGTAAACTAGAGGAAAGAATACTAATTTTCCTTGACTTCTTTACGTACATTACATCCTATTTAACCTTTTAGTGAAAATACCGTTCTTATTAAA